AAATTAAATAAAATGTCTTTGCATTTGAATCAATTACATACAAAATACTTGTATCTATAAATAATTTAATTTCCTATTATGAATCATTCTGAGGAACATATAATATTTTGTATAACATAACTTGCCTACGTCACAATGAGTTACGTCAAAAACGTATTACTGCGCTTGACGTTATTTTAAAAAAAAATGCTCAAATTGAAGCCTTTTTCCGGAGGAAATATTGTCTCATTGTCTACACTGAAATTAAATTATAAGGAATGAAGCTTATTTCAACTTATGTTATCCGATATAACAAAACTTGGGGCAGTTTACGCTTAACCGCTTCGCGGTTTATAAAGCGTAAACTGCCCCAAGTTATGTTATATCGGATAACATAAGTTGAAATAAGCTTCATTCCTTAAGAAACTTTGTTTTATAAATAATTTCCGCTGTCACAAAGTTACGTTTACAAGGATGACGTCACAATAACAAGTTGCATTTTCAGGTATAAATTAGGTTCCGCCTCCTTTTACAGCTGCATTATGTAAATTCATGATTTTTGGGAACACATCGGTACTTTTCATATGAATAAAAGAAATTGCTAGGTGTTTCGAATAGGTGTGTATCAGTTCATCAAACTGACACACCTTTCTGAAAGGAATCAGCAAAATATATCGATTTACTCTTTTATATAGTGAAAAAAAAACCCAGTAGAGGTATAATGACAGCAAATAAACTTAATATAGAATAATTAAATAAAATATTACTGCAATAAATATAAAATAAATAGATAATTATAAATTTAAACCTAAACTCGAATTGAAAATTACATTACCTAAATTAACTGAACACATAAGATGGTAATACTTGTGTTAGATTTATAGTTTCTTTGTTAGAACTCTTTAATTTATTCGAAAGTTAACAGGCGAACTGGTTTAAAGGTCAGAGATAGTCGATTGGCTATACTTTTTTTGCTGTAATTTTATTGATAGGTCATTGAGGTCAAATTCTTTCGTGAGTTTTGTCTTTGTTCCTTTAAATCCAGTCATAAGCTAGTGTTTGTCTGATACATCTATGTTTGATTTAAAATGTTTACTAAACATAAACCTGATTACAGTTAGTTCTTTATTTTCTTTTACTGACACTTTGCAAGGTTGAATGAATGGTTAAATGAATGAGTATTAATGAAATAGTTTTTTAATGATTAAATGGAAAATGTGTAATTACAAGCACGTAGCAAAAGGGTAGGGGGTTGCCCCCCCCCCCCCAATTTTGTACCCAACATTACTTTTACTATTGGCTCCCTCACTTTATACTACAGGAAATTGATATTAGGGAAATGAAGTAGATCTATTGAACTCCAAAAAAAAAATGATACGAAAAGAAGTTGGCATTGAAAGAAGATCACCCCCACCACCAGCACGAAATAGGATTTTCGAGTTCGGGCAATTCCCCTTTTTTTGCTTGTCAACTTTTTCAGGTAAATCAATAAAAAATTCCCTGACTGCCCACCCCACACTTTCAAAAACGATGTTAATGTGGCTGGTAAATAATATTCAGCAACTGATTTAAATAAATATAAATCTTGAGATCTGGTCTAAAGTTACGGTGATATATAAAGTATTTTTAAATTTATATGAGATCTCAAAGAATATGTAAATATTGTAATTTTAGTAAATACAACTACATATGTAATGTTATGATACAGGTTCAGATATGGTTTGGAATTAGAGCTGAATGTTCAAATAATTATTTGAGTTTTATATGCATGTGGAAAAATAAGAGTCATTTCCCTTTAATTTTAGAGATAATCATGATCATATTAAATGAATCGATTTTATGCTAATGGAATAATTTGTGATAGACTACACCTATATTATTGTTAAGAGATATTTAAAATGTTAACATGTTTTAAGGGTGATTAACCTGATCCACAGGGGCATCTTATCCACTCTGTTCTCTATTTCACATATATTTTTATATGTGAAATAGAGAACAGAGTGGATAAGATGCCCCTGTGCCTGATCTTTAATTCATATCTTTCACACATTAAAAAAAACTGTAACACAACAAACTGAGTTTTCATCTTATAATATTATGCCAGAAAAACCAGGTTACCACTGATTCTCAAATTATAGTCTCAATTCGCTTTAAATAATGTACCGTGTTTTAAGTAATATAATATTTCTAATAATTTTTTTCTGTCAGTCATATGAACCATTGTTGGTTGTTGATTAAAATACAACAATTGTTTGTTGTAACTTGAATGATTGTCTTAGGTGAAAATCGCATTTTATAGCAGAAATCGATATTTACGTTACTGTCGCCGATCATAGTGTAGTTTTTATTTAAACCAAAAAGAAGTTTTAAATCACTTACATATCTTTTTCTTAGTAAGATTGTCCTTCATTTGAGTTATATTTTCTGAATATCACACCCTTCACACATATGCGTGTCACAAATTTTTAAAAATTTTTAATATATTTATCAAATTTTGATGTCACCGCAAAATTATTACTTTTCTATTTGGAAATTCAAAAGGACTTGGAGGATTGCTGAACTGACTCAGTAAGATTAAGTTCTAACTTTTTAACATCATGAACACTTGTTCCATTGCATGGAACGGTAAAAAAGACACTGTTTATCTGTATTTATAGAAAATAGCCCCCTTTTCTTATGAGTCCAATGGTTAAAAAAATCATCGATATTTACGTGTTAGTATTTATTCACAAATTAAGTAAAAGAACTACACTGTTTCCTATGGGTCAAATTGACTCACACTCAAGCACTAGAATATACCTTTAATTAACAGTGGAATAATTAAACAACAGCATTAAAAGTTACGATAAATCTCAGAAAGATATTTACGTTACCGATATTTACGTTACCAATATTTACGTTACGATGTTTTAAAGTAAATTATGATTAAATTCTAAAGCTGTTTGAACAGATTTGCGAGTGAATCTTAATGATTTAAAAACTTAAGACATGAAGAACATGACGAAATACACTGTTTTTCAAAATGGCATTTTTTTTCTGAAACAAGAGTGCAGAAATGCAAACGTAAGAGCACATGCAATAATGAACATATTTTACACAATGTGGTGTGCATCCGTGTGATTTGAAAATTGAATTGACATAATATTATCACAAGAAGAATTGTGGTTTAATGATCGAATGCTTTCATTTTTAGCAATTGGTTAATATTGCATAGTTTTAAGTGTAATGCACGTTATCATTCGGAACGTAAATCCGAAACAAAACTTTCTTTAGTTTGTATTTTGCTGTTTGTTTGAACTGATAGTGTATCGTCAATTTAAATAATGGTTATTTACACCTAAACTGAACTGTATACCAAGCTAAACATTTTAAAGAACAAAATATCATTTTTCGTAGGAAATATAATTCCAGAAAATAGGCGCTGCGCTGCACGTAAAGGGGGGGGGGGGGGGTCTTCCACATCGGATTAAAGAAAAAAGACGGCTGTGGGTGTTGGGTGTCAAGAAACTGGTCGAAATTGAATCCATTTCCATTTTTGTTGCTTTGCAATTGATTTTAGATTGTGCATGCACCTAATTTTTCTCATTTAAATTGTTGCTTAGACATAGAACTTAGAACGTATGCGTCCATGCTTTAATGGTACTGAAAATTCAATTTACGTTATACTAATGTAGAATGTACGTATACTGCTTAATAGAGCACAAATAATATGCAACTGTAATTATTAACAAACCTTTTTAAGGGTGGTGGGGGTAACTTTGTTTTGTTTTTGAGATTTGACGATAAAGTTTTCACAAGCAATTAAGCATTTTAAATAAACAACAGATAAATGGTGGAAGGGGGGTGTCATAAATTAAATGAATCCTCTATAGATAAGTCATAACTTGAATTTTCAATGCAACCCTTTGTCAAGAACACAGATAAGAAAATTCATAAAATTCAATAATTTGAAATAATATATTCGTTTTTCCTCGAATATACTTATATTTTTGTATGATATCTATGTGCGATATTTACGTGTTAGTTAACAAACACTTCGTAATCGGGTAATGGCGATATATTTTACCTTCTGATATTTTTAAAAATGTGCGTTTCTCTGAACAGATTAATAAAGAATCAAATAATGAAGCATTTTAGGGAATATTGTCATTATTTAGCTTATCGTCAGATTTGATAAAAACTTTTTAAAATAAAAAGAAAATAATTTCATTTAAATGAAAATTATGCCTGTTTTGTTTTTACTAGTAACCACAGGGGCATTTTATCCACTCTGTTCTCTACTTCACATATAAAATACACGTGTATTTTTATATGTGAAGTAGAGAACAGAGTGGATAAGATGCCCCTGTGTAGTAACTGAATCAAAGATTTCACAGCCTTTTACAAATGTGCTTAAACGGTTTCATAAATGTTTATAGTTAACAAAATTTGATGTGTATTATCTTAATTTTGTATTTTTCAAAAAAATTCTTTCGTTTCCACATATGGCTTTTCAACATCACGTAAATATCTTGGTGTAAAATTAGCCCTCCAACCGCATTCATTTCGAAGGAGGTCAACAAAACACAGCTTGAAGTATGTAAATCAAATTGTGATTTTTAATAACTATACACCTTCATGTTTCAAATGACATATAAAAGTGTTATTTTCAGTTCACAAAATTTTTTGACTTTTTCCAAAGTCGATTTGGCACTATAAATTGAGAATGCGTGTTACACAATAATACTGGTGAACTTATAGCTAGCTGTACTGGTGTACGTTTAGGTGATTACAGGGATTATGGGTTCACATTCAGTAAAATCTCGATCCATTGTGGTAGCATATTTATGAACATCTGACAAATAGTGGCATAAATATGCCACCGTAGACCAGCTGTAGACGATGACCATGTTCAAAATATCCTAGCTAGCTAAACATTGCTAAAAATAGAATAAGGAATTTCCAACTTTAATATAGATGTTAAAGTTAATTCTTAAAATAGAACACGGAATTTTCAACTTTAAACATGTTAAATGGCTAACAATTGTTCATAAACAGTGAAAACAAACTATAAGTCCGTATGATATCTCTATAACAATCGTGTCAAGGCTTATTGTGTATACTTACCAGTGTAAACAAACATGGCTGGCACGGATTGATATGGTGAACGGCACATTCAACAGCTAGAGGATCTTCGGATGGTTAAAGGTGAGGTATGATTCTTGTGAATGTGATATATTGTCTTATTTATATGACTTTGATACATCCAAATATTTAAAAAAATAGATGTATATACTACACTAACATGACTAAGTAAATATATTAATGAAAATAAAAAAAAAATCGATTACTGATACATGTAAATAGAGAATGATTTTATGGAAGCTTTTATATATTGAGGTAGCCTATACATGTAATTTTTCATTTGGGAAAAAGATTGACAATTTTTTAACTCTTAATCAATGAAGCATGTAGAGATGACAAACAGTATTTGATCTCAAACATCAATTAAACATTACAAAATAGAACTAGAAGCCAAACACAGACCTCATGCATATGTAGAACATGCAGGTACCAGGAAGGAATGAGCACCCCCTGTAACTTAATGCATAAAAATTAATGATACAACAACACACTTTCTTCTCAATGTTACAGATGTATAGGTAACATGTAGGTAAAAACAGTAATGATAAACCTGATCATGCATGAATTAGATGTCAAAGATTCAGATCAATACGCCACCGTTTGATTTTTGCTTTTCTCAAAAACAGCCTCGCGGCAAAGCGATGAAGCATCCTCATGTAGTGTACATTCAAATTTGTTCAAATCATATCCCCATGGGGTAGCGTACGACCACAATGAAATTCAAACTCGTAGGGAAAAAGTCAGTCAAAAAATATGTTTGGATGCTCAGATACTATAGTGTAGATTCAATTTTGTTTAAATCATACCCTTAAATCATCTCCCTTTTAGAGTAAGGTCGGGACCACTATTTTGATTCATACTGATTTTTTTTTCTTGAGTGCTGAGTTGAGTGATGTTGCCTCTTGGCTTCTTTTTATGAATCATGATGGTACGGCTGTTTCTAGTAACAAAGTGAAAAAAAACGGAAAAAATAATTGATATTTAGACTTAAAATAAAATTATGAAGATTTTTGCCAGAGATTTAAAAAATCGCAAGATGTATTTATCATTCTGAAGTTCATGCTCGTATTGAACATGTTTTACTGTACATATTTCTATTTTCCTAGATGTTTAATAGCACAAACTTTCGTGACATTAGGGAAACAAGATTTGTCCCATACAAATTCACTTTATGAGAAATCGTCGGATGAGTAATACACACGTGTTTAAAATTTCTAATGACCAGTCAAGGATAGATTATACCCGGTATAATTATGATCATTCTTTTATGAGACACACTTACGGTCACACGCGAAGGTCATGTTTCAAACACATTTATTATAATTTTAAATTACTTAATTTATTATGAAAATAATAACGCCATTGTACTATATTTACATTCAATGTAATTTTCTTTATGAAATCCATTAGAAATCCATGACGTTCAAATCTCTATAACACACGCGAAACCTTGTCACCGCGCTTTAGAATAGACAGTAGGAGCTATATGCATTTTCAATACTTTATGAACACCAAAATGTACATTATATATTTGACACAATTTAATTAAAAAAAAAAAATAACCCTGTTGAATTAACGTAAAAATACAACAAATGTGCATTTAAAATTAATTTGTCACTTTTTTCCTCGCAATGTTCGTTTGCGTTATTTAACTTTACGACGTCACAAACGGCTCTTACGTCTATAAAGCACACCAGTTTTGAAGGGCGCTAAATTCACATCAAAGATTACCGAAATAAACAATTATGAAGAGGAAAAATTAAAGAATGTAAATATAAGTATTGAATTCATATTTTGGGATGTCTTCGGTCCTATAACACACCTGGCCGTGCCGACAAATTATCATACCGCGCTAACGCACGGTATTCAATTTTTCGTCACGGCCAGGTGTGTTATAGGACCGAAGACATCCCAAAATATGAATTCAATGCTTAAATATGTATTATCCTTTTTTCCAGGTTTAACAAAATGGCTTCTACTGAGGGTTCTCGTTCCCATCAGAAGTTAATGGAATGCTTCCAAAAACTGGGACTAAGTGCTACAGAGGCAGAAATATTCCAAGAAGAATTATGCATGGTTTTCTCCGCTTCTGATACATCGATGGAGGTCACAGACACCATCAAAGACCTGAAAAACATGACTATCGACTATGGAGATGTATTTCACAAACTTTCCATTGCAATTAACATTGTCTCTGGGGTAGCTAAGCTTTCACCTTCAACTGCAGGGCTTACCACTACATTTTCTGTCCTGTCAAATATATTTTTGCAAGTTGGAAAGGCTATGAAAGCGACCGTTCCGTCTGCAGATAAGGACAGTGCCTATGCTGCCATTGAACGCTATCAGGACTCAGAATTAAGGACAGATGCTGTGGGCTTAGAAAAATTGTTTTACAATACCATTGCCTATCTGAATTGTATTGAAGCGAATGCTCCTAAAAGTCTGATAAATCATCTAGAGGATAAATACCCTACAAATGATGCTGTGAGGTTTCTTGGTAAATTAATGGCGAAAGTAAAGGAACTCCTACCTTCAGATGTAAAATCTGCCCGAAGAGCATCAGCGTATATAAATTTGTATTCTAGACTTGCAGTACTCCGAACATTGGTTTTATGGCAACTGTATTTGATTAAATATTGCAGTGATTCAGATCGGTCCAGTACACAAGGTGTCCATGCCATGATTAACGAAAGTTGTAAGTTGGACCTGGAGGTGGTGAGATTTGTCACTGAATGCAAATTTGAAAAAGCTATATTTTTGGCCATGTTTAATCCAACAGAACATGAACATTTTCTTCATCTCCTTCGAATAAACCAAATCCGGATTCCATGTTTAGGACAGGATAAGCAATTCTGTACACAAAGTCATTTGATTCGGTCCTCCAACTGGTCAGCATGGAAAATGGAAATATCAAGACATGGTGGGCCTATTGGAGGATGCAATAAAAGATCCGATGCCTGCGAATTGCATTTGGAGCCAGTAAAATCACGAAATCTCGACAACATATTTTTCATAAAATCAAAAAGAAAGCCCTCACGTTACATCTACTTTGGTCCTAAGTTCAGGTTTTGTTGGTCTGTCTCGAGGCGGCCTGGTCCTGAAGGACATTGGAAGATCGTTAAGCTAGAAGCAGATGGCGGCATGCCTCAATACCTCATGTCCCCTCATCAGTGTCCGGGTTATTTTATTTACATGACTTCTTCACCCAGAGGATACGTGAGGGGCTCGACAGATCTCAAAGTCATTAAGGATCAGGGATTGTGGGAGATTCTTGATATTTAGTGTACAGTCGAGACATAAAGTGAACAACCATGGAGCCTAAAAAGTGAAGAGATTTGCGTGTACAATCATACTTTTGAATTTTTAGAGAAATGCTCTCAACACTCTTATTTAATATCGAAATATCCATATATAATGTGTCATTTAATGCGGAAACATGTCAAATAAAAATTATATTAAATGAATATCAATAAAATAAGAAAATAAAAGCAAGTACTGTAATATTCTCGACCTAAATTTTATTTTTTAAAAATATTATGACTTATAAAAACTTCATTTTAGTAAGAGGAAAGTTCTAAATAGCGTGCTCTGAAGATGTCTTGTATCCTTGCTCATGTTGTTATTATCTGTCTTTAAATAATGCACATGTAAGATAGAATAATCTACCTATTCACAGCTACTTTCTTGTCTTTAAACTTTGTCTCAGAGAAGAATATTTTGTACACTGTTGTGAAAATGAACTAGTCACTGTATACTCCGGTAATATATTGGTCAACATTAACGCTACATTGCCAAAATTTTCAACTCATTTCCGCTACATTTTGTCAGATTTTCGACCGATCATTACCGCTACAGTTTTCCGGCAAAAACCAACTCATTACCGCTACATACTGAATCACATAGGCACATAATTATGAGGTACAACTTTTTTTTAGTGTCTAGAGCTTCCTTATATAAATATGTTTTTTAATACATGAGACAAAGCGCATCCCTGTGTGAATTTCAGCAGATTGTTGGATCTTTTTAATTTTTGCATCCTATTAATATCAACTTTGAATACATTTTTGTGCAATCAGAGTATTTTTTCAGCAAAACGATTTTGCATACGACCAATGGGCAAGGTACATGTTCCATTTTTTTTTTTTTTTTTTTTTTTTTTTGAAAAAGCAGCTGTCTTTGAAGTCAGAATTAAAGCATGGGTTTAAACTTATCATGAGGAGCAGTTTTATGAAATGTTAGATAGGCATATGTATCGATGCTTAATAGATTTAGATGGACAATTAAAGTTTTTATTTTTCAAGTTCCCTAGAGTTTCAAAGAATCTGGTTAATACCAGTTCTATAGAATATGTTACATATGTACAGCATTCAAGATTTAAGATTTAAGTGAGGAATAGATAAAAGGCTTTAAGTTTAATCATGAATGCAAGAACTTCCAATAAAGATGATTTTATCACAGATGATGTACTCCAAAATGATATTCTCAGGAACGTGGCCGAAATTTTGACCTATGAAATGGACACAGCATTGCCTATACGTGTAAACCCAGACCAAGGAGTTAACGACTATGGAGCAAAACTACTGTCTCTGTGTAGATCTAGTGGATTGAGGATACTTAACGGACGTCATAAGCAGGCAATGGACAGGGATTTTACTTTTATGGGAACAAGAGGCATGAGTGTCGTTGACTACTGTATCTCAACGCCTGATGTGTTCGAATTAATTGAAAAATTTATTGTGTCAAATTTTACAACTTTCTCCGATCATGCCCCATTACATCTCCAATTTAAATCAATTTATAGTGAAACGGAAAAGCAAAAAAAATCGTATACTAATATTAACACTGAGTGTACACAGAATTTAAGGGTACTTACACAAACAAAAAATGGATGCACGGGTTGATATATATTTTTTGACTGATTTTGATTTGAAATGACATAAATAATAAATCCCTGAATTATAAAGAAATCGTAGGTTTTCCTTGGTGCTTATATATGAGATTTCGTTTTGCCTTCTATATAATTCCATACAAAATTTTGCATAATTTTTAAACCTTATGACAAAATCATATATAATTCTCCCACTCTACTTGGTAAACATTATTTAGGTTACCAATTTAAATGTAAATCTATGAGAAATAATGCTGATTTCTGAAAAAAAGTTTGTTTCTGTTATTTATCCTTAAGGCAGGTAAGAAAATTTAAATGGAATCCTGATTATGTAGAGAAAGCAAAAACCGAAATATTAAAGGCACTGGAAACATTGCATTCTTTACTGGAGGCTCCAGAGGATGAATCTCAAGACACGATTGACACATCTATAGATCGCTTTACTACTAATATATCACAGGCCATGGGACCCTATTTCGAAATTCAAAGAAAACCAATGCGTAAAAATCGTTACTCATCCAGAACGACACACGAGGACAAACCGTGGTTTACAGAAGAATTAAAAAGGAAGCTCGGTTTATACAAACGTGACCTTCACCTGTTCAACAAAGACAAGTCTCGGATCGCGCACCAGAATCTAATGCAGTCAAAAAAGGAATACAAGATAATGGAGGCTAGACTAAAAAAGACAGTTCAAACGTAAGGAGGGAAACGTTCTCGATTATATCCGGAAAAAAAATCCAAAAGCAATTTTCAGAAAATTTAGGAAGAAAAATATTGATGAAGTGAATATACACCCCGATACACTATTCAATCATTTCAAGGAAATGACATCTGACATCAATGCGCAGGCTTCCGCGGACTTACACATTGACAACGACAATATTATATTCGACGAACTTGATAAAGAAATATATGAGAAGGAAATTTCAGACGCAATTGGCAGATTAAAGAAAGAAAAATCACATGGAACAGACTTAATAATTAACGAATATTTTATAGAATTTAAAGAAATATTAATGCCTTATCTATGTAAATTGTTTAACAGAATATTATTGTCTGGTTTTTTCCCACGAATGTGGTCAGAGAGCATAATAGTTCCTATATTTAAAAAGGGAGATATGTCAGACCCAAATAACTACAGAGGCATTAGCTTAATCAGTTTTTTTGTAAATTATTCACGTCAATTCTAAATCAGCGTTTACTCGCATGGTCAAATGATAATAACATTATTACAGATGCTCAGTTTGGGTTTCAACCAAATAGGGGAACTACAGATGCCATATTTTGTCTCTCTTCTATAATTGATATCACCTTACGTAAGAAAAAACGCTTGTATTGTTGTTTTATTGATTTTAAAAAAGCGTTTGATTCAGTAGATAGGTTAAAATTATGGGAAAAACTAAGTGTAATCGGTATAAGAGGTAAATTACTTAAAATCATTCGTAATATGTATCAGGGTATGAAGTCATGTGTGCGGTCTACAGAAACTTTGTCAGAATTTTATAATTGTAAAACGGGTCTTTTACAAGGAGAAGTATTATCTCCGATATTGTTCTCATTGTATGTAAATGATTTTGAAATGGAGTTTTTAACAAAGGGTAATGTACCATTACAAAAATTAGAACTAAATCTTTTTGCACTCATGTACGCTGATGATATGGTAATTTTTGCAGAAAGTGTAGATGAATTACAGTCTATGTTAAATTCATTGTATAATTATACTACAAAATGGGACCTTACAATCAATATAGAAAAGACTAAAATTGTTATATTTAGAAATGGGGGGAAAATTTGTGATAATGAAATATGGAATTTGAACGGAGAACCTATTGAGATTGTTGGCAAATTTATTTACTTAGGAATGCTTTTAAATTATAATGGAAAATTTAATATTACACAGAAGCAATTATCTACACAAGGTAGAAAGGCTATGTTCTCTTTAAAAGCTAAAACAAGTGAAATGTATTTGAATACAGAGACAATGCTGTCTTTGTTTGACACTTATGTTGCTAGTGTTTTAAATTACGGATGTGAAATTTGGGGTTTTCATAATGCAAAAGATATAGAAAGTGTACATTTGCAATACTTTAAATATGTTTTAGGTGTAAGAAAAAATACAAACTCTGTAATGATTTATTGTGAAACTGGGAGACTCCCATTGAAGGTGGTAAGGTTACTTAGAATTATCAAATTTTTGTTCAAGGTGTTAAAAAGTGAAAATTGTATTCTTTTAGCCTGTTACAATATGCTACTAGAGGAATGTGAAAGGAGTAAGAAAAATATAAATAATTGGGTAACAAATATAAAAGAAAAATTGTTTGAAATTGGACTAGGTGATGTTTGGTATAGTCAGGAAAGTATTCAAATGAAAACACATTTCCCTATCATCAAGCAGCGGATTGTAGATATTTTTATTCAAACAAGTTTTGAGCAAATAAATTGCTCATCGAGATGCAAAATTTATAAGTACATCATTGACAATTTCTCTCTCCAATATTACTTAACAAAAGCCATTCCTTCTAAATATAAGAAGCAATTAAGTAAAATACGTATGTCGTCCCATAACCTAGCTATTGAAAGCGGTCGCCACAATAATATACCAGCAAATGATAGATATTGTGAAATGTGCCATTTAGATATTGAAGATGAATTTCATTTTATTTTAAAATGCCCTCAATTAAGTGATATTAGATGTCGATACATTAAAAAATATTACTGGAAAAAACCTTCAGTTTTCAAATTAATACAACTGTTAAGTGTAAAAAACTTTAAGGAACAGTGCAATTTAGGTATTTACCTCCACCATGCTTTTGAAATACGTGAAAGTGTCACAAAAACATTTTCTGTCTAAAGTATATGCATAATCTCTATATTGTTTAAGGTTGTTACCATCTATGATTATGTACTACATTTGTTTATATTACCATGTCACGTAACATATCATTTGATGTTTTTTACATTTTCTTATAATGCTATAAGATGTATGTCTTGGGCAATAAAGATATATATATATATATATATATATATATATATATATATATATATATATATATATATATATATATATGTATATGTATATATATGTACAAAGAATAATTTAAATAATAATTAACTGTGAGATCCAGTTGATAGCATACACGTCAGTCCTACGTATCTATTGTAAACAAACAGCTAGCAATGTCAGCTGATCGTTAAACTCCGGACAGGGATTTTAAACATAAAGGATTCCTTTAATTCTGACGTCGGTCGACACTCCTCACGTACATGTACTTTGAAGGTAAAAATATGATACATGATTTTGTAAAATGTGTATGTTTTCTTACAGCATGGTATCAAAACATCAGGTAAAAAATTCTTCCGATAAGCAGATAAGGGATAAAAATAGACTGACATATTTTAAGTTATTTATATCTGTTTGTGAATTTAAACCCTGAATTGTTTTGATTCCTTATGTAGATAAGGCGTTTTTTTTTTATTACATGACTGTTTAAGATATCACTTTGCAAATTATTCTGAGATGTAAACGCCGATGATTCAATAGATATTTTTGTGAAGCATGAGCATTCAAACAGATCAGTGATGTATAATATCAATAAATTTTCTGGGTGTCGAATTCTGAAGCGAGTTCTGAAATTACAAAACACTGACTCTGGGTATGAAGATTATTTTGTACAATCAATGTTTTTTCATTGAATGTATTTTATCGACATGCATGGTTTTATTTAAGGTTTCGTCAAAGGTCAACATGTCTAAAAAATTATTTTTACAATAGCTCCAAAACTATGTGTGGTATAAAGTCAAAATATTTACAGTTTATAAATATATCATTGATTAATAGATAGAAAGTATCACTTGATAACAAATATTTCAAAAAAGATATTTTTTTAGAAAAATTGTATCAGAAAATGTACATATTTTAAGGAGGAACAGGACCTTTAGCTGAAAAAATTCCTGTCAATGAATTTTTTTCATCTTTTTTATATTACTTTTTTAATATGTACTTAACATTTTAAAACGGTCCTGTCATGGGATTTCTTGACTTATTTAAAAGATATTGCCCCACAAATACCGCCCTGTTTAGAGTTTGTATGGAGTTTAGATACTTCATGTTTACGGGCCCATAACGGAGTACATAATGCGAATTTTTACGCACAAACGATAAATATGATAGATAACACTATATACTCAAATATTTCATAATATTCATAGCGTTTAAATTATCTGAAAGCAATTGTTTTAATTTTATATAATATTTGGGTGGGATAATTTCTGCATTTTTCAAGGCAGCTTCAACGACAAAAACCTCCTTTGGAAAAAATTCTGTCAATAAATATTTCTTAATTTACGATTGAATGTCAGTCCTTCATCGTAATTATTTACTGCATGAATATCATAGGGTGAAGCTAACCTCAATATCGCACAGGACATCGTTGAATTAGACGTAAGCTTGATAAAAACGCTTCACGTTTGTATTTTCCGAGTGCGGGAAATCAATTGTGACGTCACACGAAAATATAAACATTCAAAATTATCTAATTAGAGAGAATCTCTACTACTCAACACGAAAAAATATTAATTTTAAAAAATCTGCTTCAGAAATTTATCACGATATATTGACTGTGACCTGTTTAACCCTGTTTATTATGAAATAAAATTGGTCATGACTAGTGTGTGTACTTGATCTGGCTGCACTGAGAATTCAAACACATTGACGTCAGACTGCAGGGTAAAGAGATACAAGTGTGTGGATTGGGCAACTTCAGTACAGCTATTTATAAGAACCAGGCAGAAATGAAAATAAGTGATTCATGATAGTGATAGATTTTTCAAAAACTATCATATTTACATTAAGATACATCAAACTAAATACTTGATCACAGTTAAAAATGGATTTCATGCATAGTTGATTAAAAAATGAATTCAATATATACTGAAACAGTCAACAATATCCATTGAAAGGTGTCTGTACGTGCAGGTGATTTTTTAAGAAGGCCCGCACTCTCCTTGAATGTGAGTTATAAAATATTGAAAATCTTGTATCAAAGAATAAAAAACAATTAAAAAACCCATGGGTTATTTTAATTACAAATAGATATTGTGATTTTAATTTATGTAAAAACATGAAATTCTAGTTATCTCCCTTGGCACTCTTTAGTAAAAGGAGTTGGAAAGAGTTATTTAACTCTTCAGTTTAGAAGGGAAGGATTAAAAAATGTGTGTGATTTCATCCTCCTTTTGGAAGTTTTGCCGGTTTTCATACATCCAAGGGGCATGTAAGTCTAAAATTTTCATTAGAAAAATATAATCCTAGGATTAAAAAAAAATAACTGCCTGCAATTTGCTTAATTTTATCTGACAAAAATAAAATTTTATTTCCTAAACATGCTAAGAGTTTGAGTGTTTTGAAAAAGGCTAACTTGTTTAACAATAACATCAAAACCACTTAATTTCAGTTAATTTTGGGGAAAAATATTTAATTTTGTACTGGAATTTGAACAGTATCTCGCTGCTGGGGATTAGAGTATGATAAGTATCTCTCCTTTCCGTCGATACTTCCTTAGTACTGCAATATATACACAGTCGACTGGAAGAAATCCTCGACCTCAGCATACATGAAGCCGTAGCAAGAAGCAGTGAAAGCCACAGCAGAGATTGGATTGAGCATAATTTTTTCTATGTCTCGGCGCCTCTATCATGTCTATGGATGTCATTTTTAGATCAGGTATTTGTTTAATACATAACACAGACAAATGTCGAAACAAAGACAATATTGACTATTTTTTTTTCAAATTGAAAAAGGGGAAAGAAAAAATAATAGCAAACATACAGGCTGACTGCTAGTAAAAATCATCAGTCCTGCTAAAAATCTACCAGCCTAGCTGAGAAAATAATTGTCTTTATTTTTGAATGTAGGCTAGAGGTACTGTGAGCAATGAGCAAATGATACCCCCCCCCCTTGCCTCCCATATGAATATAATAGTGTCCATGTTTTGCTGTAGGAAAATATCATATTAATAATGCCATACTTTCGTAAAATACCACTTTGCATATGATTGTACTTTGGAACGTCACTATCAATACCCCTTGTCTGAACAAAGTTATATATCCACGCCCCCCCCCCCCCCCTCTCCCCCCTTTTAATCACAAATCTTGTACTGCATGCTCATGATACCATTAGTTGATTTGGAAGCGATTAATCAAATTATTAAATTTTATTGAATGATAACTTTTAAGTCCAGCTGGGCATCAATATGTGCAAATTGGTAAGCCCACAGCTGCACAGCAAAATTTGTGTGTCTCGGGCAGTCAGGTGCACTGTTTTTTCAAACACTGTTTTCGGAATTGCCAATTGGTCCTTCTTAAAATAGTGAATATTTAGTTAAGCCCTGAAAAAACTCAGATGTTATGGCAAAACGATAATTGCTATTTTTCTTATTCATTTAATCAAAATGTAAAATTGTGCCCTATCAAACTGTATATTTCAAAACTTATATATGTATGATATTCTTCGAATGCATTTTTCTTCTATTTAAATCATATATAAGGGTGGAGAGTCCTACAGAATTTAATTGACAAGCAAAACAACTAATAAAATACTGTTATGGTTTTATCAGTGAAACGGGGGAGGGGGTGTTAAAGCCACAAAACCCTATCCGAATGGGGGGGGGGGGGCTTCCCAAATATTCCTACAAGCAAATATATACAAACGTAAAAAGAGAGAGATTTATAAATATAAATATGAGAGCACATACAATATGCATGGGTTTCTGCCAATGGTTTCATCTCATTTAGGTTTAAAATTCAAAAATAAAATTTGATCCTACAAAACTAGAACTCTTTTTCAATTTATAACTAACAGTATGAACTCATGATGATATCACTAGTACATGGGAGAGGGGGTAAATAAATATTTGTTATCAATAATTCAAAAGCTAAATTGTTATATAAATGTATGCATTCTCATGTCATATGATGAATTTCATGATTTGTTATCATTTCAGATGCAATCTGAGCCTTGTTCTGAATTTCAATATCCAGTTTGACAAAACCTGCACAGCTGAGGTAATGTAATCTCACCAAGAAAAGATTATCAATTCAACTAACGTTAGTGTTATATTATTTATGTATCATTAGATAATTCTGTATTTTGTGTTGACAACTTGGAGTTTTTTTTAATTATCATTAAGAACATTCCTTTTCGTTTAGTAATCAAGGGCCTTCTGACTAAGGGTTGAATTATAGTGAACACTACCATTCAGAGACTTTGAAACAGGTATATACTTCTTCTGATCTTGATTCTCTGAATTTTTTAGCTCACCTGTGAGTTGAACGCTCAAGTGATCTATTCTAATCAAAGTTTTCTTTTGTCTGTCATTGTCATTCTTCAAGGGGAGAGAATTACAAAATTAATAGCATTACTGACACTTCTCAAGAACCAATGGCCCAGGAAATATGAAACTTATGTTGAACCATTGTCGGGTGGTGTAGATTCAATTTTTTTAAATCATGAACCCCATGTGTAGGATGGGGCCACAATGGATGATCAGAGTTTAACATAGGAATATATAAAAAAAATTTAAAATATTCTTCTCGGATACAGCAAGCCTTGATTGGTACTATTTATATGAAAGCATTTTCAGGTGGTGTAGATACAAGTTTGATTAAATCATGACCCGGGGATACGGTGGGACCACAAAGACCAATCAAAGTTTTACTAAGAATATAAAGAAAAAATCCTTTAAAAATAGTCTTCCAAATAACAGAAAAGCCAGTAAGTTATATGTACATATGGAAGCATTTTCTGTAGTGTAGATTTATTCGAATCATGACTGCCCCCCCCCCCCCCCCCCCCAGGTATAGCGTGGGGCTACTATAAAAGTGCTCAAACTTGTAGGGAAAAACTCACAGTCAAAAATAAGTACCCCGTAAGCATCCTTAGTGTAGATTCAATGATGTACAAAATCATACCCCTCCCCCCTCTCTCTCTTTCTTACAGGGAGAGGTCAGGACCACATATGCTTTTAAGCTTTTCAATACAAAGCTGATTTTGGATTTTTATCCAAGCCAGGTGAGTGATGTGGCCATGGGCCTTTTGTTAAATCATTCCTCTACACACATATGTACAGTACAACTCTGTTATAACTAACTAGGACCTGTAAAAGTACTTCACAAAATACTTCGTTATAACCATATTTTTAATTTTGTAACATTTATATAGTTGGGGATCCAAGAAGACTTCTGTGAATTCACAATATCTGTGTTTGAACTAAACAAGTT